AACCCTTCACAAGAAACCACCCCGATGATCCAGTCACCTCCCACCAGGCCCCATCTCCAGCACTGGGGATTACATTTCAACATAAAATTTGGGCGGGGACACAGATCCGAATCATATGAAATTCTTAGTGTTACAAGAATTCTGGAGTACAGAAACTTTCATACACACTGGTAGAGTATGAATTGCTCCACTCTTAGGTAATATTAAACTTGCCTTTAAAATGTGGGTAACCAAGGATTTTGGGGACAGTGAAACTACTCTATGTAATTCTATACTGGAAAATACATGTCATTATACATTTGTCCAAATCCATAGAAAGTGCAATACCAACAGCGAACCCTAATGTAAAGTATAAACTTGGGGTGATGACGATGTGTCCATATAGGTCATCAATTGTAATAAATGCATCACACTGGGGGTGAACCTAAAATTGTTCTAGTAAGTAGTCTATTAATTAAAAAAAAAACTTGAATGTATGAAACGTACTCAGACACACGTATTCTACTTACAGAAATTTATCTTAAGGAAGTTATCAGAGATGTAAACAAGGCTTCTTATGTACAGATTATTCACGGCACCATCATTGTAGCTGGAAAAAATACACAATGTTCAGTAATCTGGGAATGTTAAGTAAATGCTGGTGTGGCTGTGCAATGGAATACTATGTAGATGTTAATACTCGTGAGCAGACTATGAAACCACAAAACAGCTTGTTCATGATCTATTAAGGGGGAAAGATCACCAGGCAAGTACTAACAATGGGATCTCAATGTTGTGTGTATGGGGTGGACTGTGTTTGTGCTGTGGAAGGCACAAGCAGCCACAGAGAAAAAGATTGTGAATGCACACAAAATGTTTACTGTGGCCATCTCTAGGTGATACAATTGCAGATGATCTTTATTTCCTTTTGTACTTTTCTGTATCATTTCCATTTTATTTTAGAAAGAGCAAGAAGTATACCCTTTCCCCTAATCAATAAAGCTATCCGAAGTATTTTCCACTGTATCAGTAATTTTTGTATAACTTGTAGTATTCTAGTTTGCAAGAAACTGAAATAATGCTAGATAATTTTATGCAACAGAAGTTGGATATTAATTCTTTAAAAATAATAGCTCAGTTATTTGCATGAAAATACACTCATTTATACTGGCTTCTGATAGATTGTTGGAAGACCCAATAATCCTCACTCTGGAGTGGAAGACCATATATTATTCTGCTGGACATAATATAGCTGAGGTTGTTTTTGAATAAATAATTGCAGCCGCACTCAGCAGTGTCTGAAAAAAAAATCTCAATGTTAAAGCTTCATTTTTCACAGTCACAAATGACTAGTTGAGACTCACAGTAAGAGGACTTTTCTATGCTGGAAACTACTGGGTTGTGTTTTTTAGAAACATGTAATTTGAAAATTAAAATGATCTTGTTCATTTTCGTTTAGGTAGCAGTTTTAAAAATTAAATTAAGATGAAAGTGCGTGAGTAAGCACCATGTCTTCTTTTTAATCCTATTGTCGTTTCTAAATTTACTTCTAATATACAAAGAAGCTGGAAATTAGCCTGATATCCAATGGGGCAGAAAACTTACTTATCTTGATGAGAGAAAGAGAGAGCGGCAGGGGAAGCTGTCCAATTTTACATTAAAAAATGACAGCAACTTGCTTACTGTATGGACAACTCCATTTGGGCCTGGACTCACCGTTTGAGTTTCATGCTTTTATTCTCACTGTCCATTTTTCTCTGAACATGGGAAAACTTTGCCCTGAGCTTATGTTTGGTACTCCCTGAAGAATTATTAGTATTTTTATTACTATTGCTATTTATTTATGTAGAGACAGGGTCTTGTTCTGCTGGAGTGCAGTGGTGTGATCACGGCTCATTGCAGACACCAGCTCCTGGGCTCAAGGGATCCTCCTGCCTCAGCCTCCTGAGCAGCTGGAACTACAGGTGCATGTCACCATGCCCAGCTAATTTTATTTTATTTTATTTTATTTTATTGTAAAGACAGGGTTCTCACTATGTTGCCTAGGCTGGTCTCAAACTCCTGGACTCAAGTGATCCTTTCATCTCAGCCTCCCAATATGCTGGAATTACAGGCATGAGCCACCGCATCTGGCCCCCTGGAGAATTATTAAGCCACAAGTAACCTTCTCTAATGCCCTCCTTCAGAAGTGATTATGTTTTCTATCATTAACTGTTTCCCTGTGTGTCACAAACACAGTCCACCACAGAATCAAACGTCAAACTGTGAAATCACATCTTCAGTTTCCAATGGTTTTAATCGAGAGGGTCTTTCTTTAGAAAACCTTCCCTTGGTGTTTGGAGTAGCTTTTGATTTAACTGGATCATGGTCCCCACAGAGGGAGCCATTTCCTGGTTGCCGGAGGCTGGGTTTTAGGTAACAGTTGTAGTCTTCGTCCCTACCAGACACGCTCCACAAGTCATAGGAAAACGTGAGTCATTTAAGTTTGAACAGGTTTTCTACTGCTTTGCCCACTTTCTTCCAGAAGTGCTAAAAGAACAGGAACTATTAGAGTCTTTCTTGTCTACCTGACCTCTGAAAGCTGGGACTCCTGAAGGCTCAGGCAGTCCAGAGTCATCTTCCCTTTTCTTTCCATACTTTCTTCCCATATGACTGCATAAGTTCCCCTCACTTTCAGTTTCATCTTCATGCTGCTGTCTCAAGTCCATGCCTTTCAGCCTAGATCTCTACTCTGAGATATGAGTCGACACGTCTAATTTCTGGAGAGAGACCAACCTAGACCAAGTGTTGGAATGAAGGTTGTTGAGTTGTGGGAGGGGTACGTTGAGATGATTTTATTCAGCCTTTTGATTTCCCAGAGGAGTATTCTGAGACCCCCCAGGGTTATGTTCATTTGGCATTTTCAGACAACCTCCTGTTGTATCTGTCTGAAACACTGCAATTAATTTTGCATGTTGTAAAGATCTCTTTATTTCCCCCTAAACCACCTCTTCACCGCCCGGTTTTGCCTCTGACAGTGAGTGGTGCCATGACTTTCCACTTCCTTAAGCCAGAACTGAGGAGTCACACCTGATTCCCCCACTTTCATCATTAGTCCATCAGCAAGTCCTATCAGTTCTCCTTCTAAGATATGCCTCAAATTTGCTCACTTCTTGCTTCGGCCACCATCTCTACCTGGTCCACGCCACTGTCATGGAGGGCTTGGACCACTACCGCAGCCTCCTTTCAGTATTGCCTTGTTCTAGTCCATTTCCCAAAAAGCAAAAAACAGTGATCATCCTAAAATGTAACTCGAAACCCAAGAGGACCTAAGAAAACAGCGCATCAGAAGCTCAAAGCAGCAGAGCTGGTGGTGAATTTGCAGAGCCCGGGGCCCCCCGGTGGCTGGAAGGCAGACTGTGAGGAGCTGATGGGAAACAGAGTTGCTGCCGAGGGAGTCAGCCGGTGCCCTGGGCACAAAGCTGTGCATCAAGTTCTGCGGAGCTGGAGAGCAAAGCACACGGGCAGCTGGTGCTGTCCCTCTATAGTGGCACTGGTTGCAGCCAGCACTGTCTTCTGTAAACGAAGACCTAGCCCTGACCCCTGAGCCTTGAATGAAAGAGTTGGATGGATGATCACTGTGGTCCCTTCCAGCTCTGTTACTCTGTCATCCTGTAAATTTAGATAAGACTTGGACTGTGTCTTGCTGTACTTCATACGGGGGCCTGTCCTGGGAGCTGGACCATCTGTGATTTAGTGCATTAGTTTTATGGAGGCCCTGGCTTGCCTAATGCCCACATTGAAGTAATAGTTTTTCTTTGACAATCTCTCCCCTTCCTTCTCTCCCCTTCTCTTCCTTCCTGGCAGCCTTTATCCTCCATGAAGTTGAGTGTTCAGGCTGCTGTTTGACTGTCAAGGGCCTTCCTGATTTCGGACATGGCTCCCCATACTCTAGGTGGACAAGAACTAATATTGTAAATTTCTATTGTTTATAAGGTATCCAGTCTATGGTATTTTGTTATAACAGTGTGACTGGACTAAGACAGCTAGCCAAGTTACCAAATCATGAATAAGAGTAGGGTAAAATGATTTTAGACCCACAAGGTCTCAAATTTCATTCTCCATATAGTCTTCTAAGGAAGCTACTGGAAGATGTCCTCCTCCAAAAGAAGTGAGTGAGTCAAGAAGAGGAAGACGTGGGATTTACCCAGGAAGAGAGGTATAGGGACATCGGGAAAGCAGCCAAGGTTATAATGGGATGGACACCAAGAAGGAGGTCTTAAGAAAGAAGATGAAATTGATGAGATGATCTGAGGCATTTGAACAGATTGTAAGGAGATACTACAAGTGGCAGAGAATTGCAGATAAATTAATAATCAAAGAAAACAAAAATGAAAATTTGTAGAAGGGACATTTAATTACTGTACCGTATGTGGCTCAGCTGTGAATAATATATAATTATAATAACATAAACCTTGATGTTGGTGTGTGTTTATGTGGGTTGGGGTAAAAAAAAAAGAGCTATATATTCATCTTCTATAACAGAAACCACAAGCACTATCTAAAAGCTTTTTTGTTTAAGTCAAAAAATCACAGTATTCCCATTTATTTAGAAATATGGAGGCCAAAACCAGAAGGAAAAGTTAAAAGAGCGGTTGCCTTCTAAGAAGTCAGAACTGGGAGTGAGGAAGGGTGGAGGGAGAGATGCCTCTACTTTTTTTGTTATAAGCCTTCTAAAACTGTTTGGCTTTTAAAACACTTATATACATAAAACTATATGAAAGGGAAGAAAGAAAGAAAGAAAAAGGAGGCGGTGGGGGCAGGAGAAATAAAGGGGGAGAAGGGAGGGGCCTGATAGATTACCTCATATTAAGATAATTACGGTCTGAAGCAGTTTAACGAATTTCCTTTCCCAAGAGCAGACACATTTTAAAAGGTGACAAGAAACACCATTTACACTTTAAACCAAAGAAATGAATCAGGGCCGGGTGTGATGGCTCACGCCTGTAATCTCAGTACTTTGGAAGGCCAAGACGGGCGGATCACTTGAGGCCAGGAGTTTGAGACCAGCCTCACCAACATGGTAAAACCCCGTTTCTACAAAAAATACAAAAATTACTAATACCTGGGTGTGGTCGTGCACGCCTATAGTCCCAGCTACTCGGGAGGCTGAGGTGGAAGGATCCCCTGAGCCTGGGAGGTTGAAGATACAGTGAGCCGTGATTGTGCCACTGCATTTCATTCAGCCTGGGGGAGAATGAGACCCTGTCTCAAAAAAAAAAAAAAAAAAAAAAAAAAAAAAAAAAAAGGAAAAGGAAAAAGAAAGAAAGAGAAAAGAAAAGAAAAGAAAAGAATTAGGCCCTGGAGTGGGTAAGAGGGGGATATGTGTGGGAACTTTATAATCTGAGGTTACACAGTGTCTTGCAAACCACAAGCAGAAGAATAGGAGGATGTTGGACACCTGGAGGAAAGAAAAAGTCATTCCAGCATGCATGATAACACAGCAAGGACTGCTGTGTTAACCCCTGGCAGGGCCTGAATGACAGAAAAGGGGAGCTGAGCACAAGCTTAGGAAGCTTGGGCAGTGCCTGGTTGGCCCAAGAAGAGGGACGGAGTACAAACAGAAAGCCAGAAACGACGTCCACATGCTTATTTGTTTTGGGGGCCATAAGTACCTATCATGAAAGGTGTAGTGTTCAAGCTCAGGACACCTGCTCCACCACCACACCCTGGCAGAGGGTTCCTTCACTGAAGACAGGGTGATAATGATCTGGTCTGTGGCGGGTGGGGTTAATTGTGAATCCTTTCTTAACATCATGCGTCTTAAGTATTCTCGGATATTGTTTGTGGAAGTGCCAGTGGGTACTTCCTGTGGAAAGCAGGATGGTGATAGAGGCCTGTGAATACGTGGATATCCTTCAATGCAGTCATTTTATTTCTGGGACTGTATCCTAAAGTAATAATTCTAAATCTAGGCTGGGTACAGTGGTTCACATCTGTAATCCCAGTACTTTGGGAGGTTGAGGTGGGTGGATTACCTGAGTTCAAAACCATATCACGAGTTCAAAACCAGCCTGGCCAACATGGTGAAACCCCATCGCTACTAAAAATACAAAAATGAGCCAGGCACAGTGGCACATGCCTGTAGTCCCAGCTACTTGGGAGGCTGAGGCAGGAGAATTGCTTGAACCCGGGAGGCAGAGGTTGCAGTGAGCCAAGATCAAGCCACTGCCCTCCAGCCTGGGTGACAGAGTGAGACTCTGTCTCACAAAAAAAAAAAAAAAAACTAGACAAATTTTTGCACAAAGACTTGCACTGCAGTATTATGCATAATAGCAAGGAATAAGAAACAATCCTAGTTTACATATTTGCTTCTCTTTGGGGAGGTTTATTTGTTGTTGTTAGGAGATGAAGTCTTGCTCTGTTGCCCAGGCTGGAGTCCTGTGCCACAGTCAGCTCACTGCAGCCTTAAACTCCTCAGCTCAAGGGATCGGCCTGCCTCAGCCTCCTGAGTAGATAGGATTACAGGTGCACACCACCATGCCCAACCAATTAAAAAATGACTTTTTTTTTTTAATAGTGATGAGGTTTTACTATGTTGCCCAGGCTTTGGGGAGTATTTTTAATAATAAGGTAAATGTATGTCTGTGCATAACTTTTTGTCTATATTAGAACTGTTGTGCTGTTATTAAAATGATATTTATAAAAAGTTTGTTAACAGAGAGACATAATGTTAGAGGAAAAAATGAAATAATGTGTCTATCATCACAAGACTATATTTTAAACACTACATAAAAAGAAAACTGAAAGCAATGTATGAAATATTAACAGTAATAAGAATATGAATCATTTATCTTCTCTTGAAATTTATATGGTTTCAAATTTATATAATGGACATGTATTTCTTTTTAATGGAAAGTGTAATTAGTATTTGTAAGAAAAATTCCTATAGCATCAATAGATTTATGTCACTGCAATCTGGTTACTAATAAACAACCTCATGAAACATATCCCAAGGTTCCAGTACCTTCTAACATATTTAGCTACTTTTGTTTCCAAGCTCCTATATCAATATTGAATTTTTAAAAATTAATCAAAAAATCCAATCATCATAATATCTATCTGTGGAAAACTGTAGAGTTATTGTGGATCTCAAGCTATTCTTCAGATTCTCTGGTAGAAGTCTCAAGCTTATTCCAAGTGTTTCAACACGTTACTATAGTATTCATTTTAAATTATTTGATAAAGATTACTAGATTTTCTCCAGGGTGCATAGCAGTCATAATTAACAAGCCCAGCTGTCATTCAAACTGGAACACATCAAATCAAAAGGCCACAGAGCATGTTTGCAGACAGGGCTGTGCACGTCTCCCTGAAAGCAAGATAAGGCCAGGCAAAAGGGAACCCTATAAATATTGCATCCTAGAACACTGACATTGACCTACACTGTTGGACAGAAACATTGAAACACGGAGAGATCTGACACATCCTACGGAAATGTCTTTTCCCAAAGGTAGCCAGGCTTCAAGCCTTGAGAATTGAGAAAATTCAGAAAGGTCTCATATCTATTGTTACTGTTTCCTTGTCACATGGAAAAGGCTAGACAGCTCTTTCTCCTGGCCTGGCCAGTAAATTGGTTGCATAGGACCACGGATAGATGAACATATTATTCCTTAAGCTACAGAGATTTCCCAGAGCTCAAGTTCTTGCCAGTTCTCAAGCCTGCCCTCCTCTTTACTTGTTCTTTCTGTCTTATTCACCTCCCCCGACTCAGGAGAGCAGCGCAAACGCTGACACGGTGCGGCGGGAAGGAATGGATTTTATTGATTACAAACAAGCACTTGTCCCAAGCCGCATTTTAGGTGCTGATAGACTGAGAAAGGCTTCGTGCGCTCCTATTCCTTGGAGCTGATACTGCACAGAACCACAAGATGGCTCTGTAGCCACAGCAAAGCTTGTGAAGCACCAGGGATGTTTTCTATGAGGGTACCTGAAACTGGCGGCCAGGATTCATCGGGTCTCCTGGTTATGATCTGGAGGCAGGCGTGCTGCTTCTCTGATTCTTTATTGGTTCCTTAATTTGTTACTGGGTGACTTTTAGTGTGTGAAACAGGATACTAACACTGTAGAAAAGTACATCTGTAAACATTTTTGTACACGGTTGTTTCGAACATCACCAGTTTTTTCCTTACAAATTTTGTGTAAATGGGGGGAAAATAAGCTGTGTCTAAAATCGTGGAACAATTTTTGTCCTATAAATCCCCAAGAAGACATTTCCCAATGCAATTTTCAAAATGGGTTGGTTTCTGCTATTAACAGGCAAGAAGTACACTGTTCCTTATGCCTGATTCAATTGAAAAGCACTTAACTCAAGGTCTCAAGGGCAAAGGTAATTGATGGGGACTCAGGTAGCTTTCCGTTTCACTCATGGAAAACAGTGTTTTCTGAAACAAACTTCGTGCAGTGCTTTGGTAATATAAGCAGTCCTGTTTGTGTGCACATTTGGCAAAGATACCTTCCTCCAACGTCACAGCAGTGAGGTCTCACACACGTGCACTCGGTCCTGGGGGTGGGGTGGGGGGCGGCAGGGTTAGCAGAGCCTGAAGCATGCCCCGAGGGAGCTTCGGGACTAGGGTGGGAGTGGGGGAGTCACCTCTCCAAGTAGTGAGACATGAGAAGTTCTGCAAGGCCCCGACCTACCTTCCCCACCACTCTGCCCAGGTACCACGTTCCTCTGCAGGAAGCTGGGAGCACATCATACTCACAAATAGCAATAATAAAAAAGCAAGATTAGTAATCTGATGAATAGATTTACGGCCTGGGCTGGAGATGGACAGTGACATGCTGAAAACTCCCCCATTTGATTATAGTTTGCAGGCAAGGTGGAGAACAATTGGGTTAATGAACTCACAGGCGAGAAGGTGCTGGAGTAGGACACACCTGTCACCCTCCCCGCCACACACACGCTTAGCACCTGGAGGAATTACTTCACAAACTGTCCTGTAGCACCTTAGAGCCTCTGGAAGATACAGAGGATGAGGATTTGTAATAGTGGCTGGGGTCATTAGAGACAGGGCAAGGTAACTTCTAAAGGAAGTGCTGGACCCCCACCAGTCCTGCATGTGGTGCAAAGGAGAGAGAAACGAAGCCAGGAGTCGGGCTCTGTAATGTGCCAGGTGTCTGCATTTACGCCACTTCATTTCATCTCACTACCATCCTGCAAGGTGAGATTACCCCGTTACCGATGAAAACACTAAGTGTCACAGTGATTGTCTGCTTTGCCCAGCATCACACAGGAAAGAAGTAAAACGGTGAGCTTTCTGAACCATAGACAGCAAGCCGGGATGAAGGCAGGCCTGGAAAACAGACGAGGAGCAACCGAGATTGGCACCAGCAAGGGCTCCAGAGTCCAGCAGCAGCCAGACCCAGGCTGCACTGCCCCAGACGCGACTTGAGCGGGAGACCAGCAAGCCCCACCATGCCTCACACCCACAGCCGAGATCCTACTATCATCACTCCCGCTTGCGGATGAAGAAACCGGGGCTCAGAGAGGCTAAGTGACTCTCCCAAGGCCTCACATCCAGAGTGCAGCGGGGGTGGGGCCCCGGCACCTGATCGTGCTCCCTTCCGCCCTTCCCATTCTGTGCTTTTCTCTTTGGAGTCCTTCCACCTGCCCCTGGAGGCTTTGCTTTGCTGCACCATCTCGGCATCCTCCGCCTCCTCCTGGAGCACTCCCTCCGCTCCTCCACCTGCTGGCTATGCCTGGAACTGGACTCTGCCAGGACCTCCTTTACCCTGCAATCCCAGGACGGCAGGGTCCGCGTTCTCCTGCTCCCCAGTCCTGTACCTGAGGACTTGCCTTCGATGGTCACTGTCCCTTGCCAACTCCCCCTCCCAAACATCTATGGAAGACTTGTGTCCCTGAGCTCCTCACCACACACTCTGCCTATCACAAGTCCCACACCACCTGAGACAATGACAAGTCAGCTCTTAGCTCCCCATCTCCCCAAGCCCTGATCTCCATTGGCCTGGATCTGCACTCCACGGCAGCCACCCGCCCCATTCTGGTCCTTCCTCACCCTCAGGCGACTCCAGCTCTAAGCATCCCAAACGCCACTGCTCCCTCTCAGATCCTGTCAGCCGGTGGTTCTCCAACTCTAGGGTACATCAGAATTTCCCAGAGGGCCCCACCCCTAAAACATCTAAGTCAGCAGGTCTAGGGTGGGGCTCATGGATTTGCATTTCCAGGAAATATTCAGTGCTGCTGCCCTGCCGTGGGATCACCCTTAAGAAGTGCTGCTTTGGCTGGAAACCATCATTCTTAGCAAACTATCACAAGAACAGAAAACCCAAACACCGCATGTTCTCACTCATAGGTGGGAACTGAACAATGAGATCACTTGGACTCGGGAAGGGGAACATCACACACCGGGGCCTATCATGGGGAGGGGGGAGGGGGGAGGGATTACACTGGGAGTTATACCTGATGTAAATGACGAGTTGATGGGTGCTGACGAGTTGATGGGTGCAGCACAGCAACATGGCACAAGTATACATATGTAACAAACCTGCACGTTATGCACATGTACCCTAGAACTTAAAGTATAATAATAATAATAAATAAATTAAAAAAAAAAAAAAAGGAAGTGCTGCTTTGAGCCGCACCTCAGCCTGGTCTGCTTATTCCAATCACCTGGAGGGCTTTAGAAGCCAGCAAGGTCCCAACTCCACCCTAGTCTAATTAAATCAGAATGGCTGGAGTTGGGCACACCTAGAGTTTTTCAGAGCTCCCTGGGAGCTCTGATGTGCAGCCAGGACGGAGGCCTGCCGCTGTAAGGGTCTCCTCCTGCTGTTTCTTCCCCCTACCTCTGATTCCTCAGTCTCTCTCTGATCAATATCCTCAGGGTCCCTGCCTTGCTTAGCAAAATCGCAATCCTAGGTCAATTCAACTTCCTGCTGCTTCCACTGCTGAACCTGGGCTGCTGAACACACACAGCGGACAGATTGGGACTGTTACAAGCGTGGAGTTTCCAGCTTCTGCTGAGCACTCAACGCTGCCCAACCACCCTATGATGCCTCCCTCACCACCTCCCTACAGGCTCCTCAGCCACGGGCCTGGTGCCAGACACGCCCCAACCAGGTCACAGTTGTCCCACCTGTCAAAAGGCAAGGACAACCGCCAGGCGGAGGATGTTGCAAGGATGAGAGAGAATCCTATATGTGAGGAGCTCATCAACAGTCTTGTTACTATTTTGTTATTTATTTATTTATTTTTTTTTTTTTGAGACGGAGTCTCACGCTGTTGCCCAGGCTGGAGTGCAGTGGCGCGATCTCGGCTCACTGCAAGCTCCGCCTCCCGGGTTCTCGCCATTCTCCTGCCTCAGCCTCCTGAGTAGCTGGGACTACAGGCGCCTGCCACCGCGCCCGGCTAATTTTTTGTATTTTTAGTAGAGACGGGGTTTCACTGTGGTCTCGATCTCCTGACCTTGTGATCCGCCCGCCTCGGCCTCCCAAAGTGCTGGGATTACAGGCTTGAGCCACCGTGCCCGGCCTGTTATTATTTTTTTAGTTGACAAAATATTGCATAGATGTATGGTGTATGACATGTCATTTTGAAATATGCATATATTGTGGAATGGCTAAAGCAAGCTAATTAACATCAGCATCAACTCACATACATCTTATTTTTTTGTGTGTAGTGAGAACATTTAACAGTCTACTCGGTGATTTTCAAGTTTATGACACATGTTGTTAACTGTGGTCGTCATGTTGTACAATAGACCTGGAACTTACTCCTCCTGTCTCACTGAAAGGTGAGTCCTTTAGTAGTCTTGTTATTATTGTTTTGGTGCTTGTCACTTACTCCCAAAGGATGTTCCCACTACCAACCACACAAACAGCCAGGAGCCCCTCAATTTCCAGTTTATCTACTTCCCATGTTTGTGAAAGTGTCTGGGGAAATAGTCTCTCCATTCTTCGTTCCTGCCTAGGTCTATTACATGGAAACCTTACTGGAAAAGTCCGGAACCTGGGAAGAGCCTCTCTATCCCTCTCTCCACCTCCTCCTTTGCTTCCACCGGTGGGTAACTGTGGGAGGAGGAAGGCGACGGGGCCCAGCCCTCTTCTCGCTCTCTCTTTGGCATCCCCAGGCTGCCAAATAGCCCTCCTTGGCCACACGTAGTAAACGGTTTCCTCTAGCACAAGATGCTGTGATCTGCGGTGTGTCCTGGCGGGAAATTGAGTGCTGGAGTCAGGGGTGTGTGGCTGGGGTGGAGAGAAGAGTGAGAGGAAAGGCCCTGGGTCCAGAGGAGAAGCCAGGAATCTCAGCAGCTTCTGATCAGAAATCAGGCTGCTAGATCTCTGGCTCCTTCTTTCTTAGGTTCTAAAGGTGGAGGGAAGAAACATAAGTGTGTGATTAACTATCTTCTCCAGACTCCTGAGAAGTTGTATTTCCTGGTACCCTCTCTAAGGCTAAGTTTTCCATCTGTGCCCAGGATCCCAACCCCTCACTACCCCAGGGATGAATCACCCCTTCCCCAAATGCATCTTCATCTTCTCCCTTTCCCCAGCTCTTTCTCTAAACACACACACACGCATGCACACATACACATGCACGCACACACACACACATGCACACACACACACGTCTTTTCCTTCTTAGAAAAAAAAAAAGCCTAAAGCCAACTCCTGTCGTTGGCCGTACCTCTCCTGCCCTCGTGGCCTGGCCAGTGCCCTGCTGTCTGTACTCACCATACTCACCCTCCCCGCCTCCTCCCTCCACTCCCTCTTCCCGTGCTCCTGCCTGCAGCTCCTCTCCTGCAGCTGACTGCGTTCTCCCCAAGGCCAGTGCTCCCTGTAGCTACTACATTCTATGCTCCTCCATCTACAGTGCTCTACCTGTTGACCAAATCTGTTTCCTTGAATTTATTTTCTTTTTAAAACTGCACGACCACTCCTTCTCAGACACTCTGGAAGTCTCGTTTTCTTAAGCCCAGGTGTCCCCCCTTAAGGGCAGGTGTCCTTTCAGTGGCGTCTGTCCTCTCCTCCTCCCAGTTCATCCTTTCCTTATACAAGCTTAGCTTCTCCATAGCCTGATACCATGAGGAGGATGCCCTCCTCCCAGAGAACATGCTCCAGCCCCAGGATCACACATCAGGTTGCTCTGGACAACTCTCCCTGGAGTCCCAGAGCCTCTTCAACCAGACTCCATAAGTGGCCTTGCCAGCTCCCACCTGCTCCCCAACCAACAGACCCCAGCAAGAAACAAAAAGCTTCATGGGTGCCCATCACCCACATCAGCATAAGATGGGATCTGAGGCTCTTCATAACCTGCTGTCTGACTAGCTGTTGGCCTCATCTCCAGCCACCCCCATATAAGCCTTCATGCCCTAGAAAGAGGAGCACTTGTGGTTCAGCCACACGCTGAGCTCTTCAGGCCTGCTGTGCTCCTGCCATTCACTGTGCCAGCCTAGGCTTCTCTCTGCAGCCTGAAGACTCAGTGCAACATCCATCAGTTCCCCTATGAAGCTTCCCTGCAACCCATTCTGCCTGGGCTAGGTGCTCCTTGTGTATTCCAATCACACCAAGGTGCATGGATCTAGCACATCACTTACAGCATCGTGTGGTAGACTGTTGACATTGCACGTAAACTAAACTTCCCTCCCCATGTACGGGGTTATGGCTCCTTGAGATCTTTCATCTTGGGGATTCCATGTTCCCAGTGCCCAGCACAGAGCTTTGTATCAGGCAGGTGCTCAACATCTGTTTGGTCTCACAAATGTTTGGGTTCCACTCAAGAGGTGTGGGGGCCATGTGGGAGTAGCGCATAACCCTGGCTTGAGACCTTGGTCTTCATTTCTATATCCATGGGTTGGTGATTTTAAATGAGTTAGTTCCTTTCAAGTGATTAACTAGTGGCTGGCACTCCGAGTATCTTATTATTGATTATTGACAGTGTATAATCTAGAGTCCAGGGGTAAGATCTGTTTATGAAGCCGTGCAGGGGAAGGGGGGAATGGCTTTGCTCTACAGGTGGAGGGAAAGGGGGAAGAGGAGGGAGGGGAAGGGGCAACGGAGAGAGGAGGATAAGGTGAACTTTGGGAACGTGGGTGAATAACATACCTTTGTTTAATCAAGAAAAGCTGAAACTTCCATTTCTTCTTCCCAATGCTGTAGTGTGTGCGTGTGCGTGTGTGTGTGTGTGTGTCAACGGCACGATTTGCACTCTGAGCTTTTTGGTATCAGAAAGTTGACCATGAGTCTGTAATAGGATATGGCTTGTTATTTAACTACTTACATCGAGATTCCTCGTTTATAAGTCCAGGATTATAATACCTCTTTTACAGAGATATCACAAGAATTAAATTATGGTTTTAAAGGTTTTCTCAATCTCTTTTTGAAACATATCCTTATGTTACATAAGGATAAAGCATTGTGATGATATTATCATGCGTCAGCCCGATAAGCCTCAAACCATGCATCCTGTTGAATTTTTAAAATACATTTTTAATCCGTTTTCCCACTGGCTATCATAGATGCCAGGAGAACGCTAAAATATAATGAACAATGATGAAAACAAATGAAAACTGAGTCAAATATTGAAGCAAACTGTAAGAAGTCATTACATAGGCTCTGTTACAAAATAGATCAGAGATAAAAGTACACGGAAGTTATTTTATATAATAATCACTTTGTGAATTATTTTTCAGACTGAAAACATCCCAGTCCAACAACAACAAAAAGTACAGATTTTCTGTCTTAAATTCACTAGACCATCTTTCAACAGACCTTGACTGTCAGATTTAGGTATGTAGTGCCGATATTATGCAGATGTAACAGACTCACTTCCCTTGGCTTAATAGGATAATTCTGCCAAAATACCTCAGGTTCTGTTACTGTCTCCATGAGGCTGGACCATAGATCAGGCCATCCCCAGCATTCTACGAGAATGGCTCATCTTATCTCACCTAGAGAGGTGGGATTCAGGAAGCCACCTGCCTCACCACTGCCAGTGACCACCTCTGAAGCTTACTTAAATGTGACAGAGTCTGTGGACTCATCTTTTCAATCACCATAGAAAATAAGGGTAACACGCTGCTTCTCACTCCTCAGCCTTTATGGGTTTGTCAGGGGAACACTGATGATGACCTTGGCTTCCTTCTCAGGTCATCGGGGCCATGCTCATCAACAAGGACAGAAGGAAGTGGGAGTATCTGGAGAAGAGTGACTCAAGTAAATGGCATAAAGATGCAAGGAAATAAAAGGGAAAGGGGAGTTTAGGAGAAGCTCTGCTTTGGCCCGGGGGCTGGATCTACATCACAGACCAGCTGGAGTGGTTGGCTAGAGGCAGCTGCCCTGACCTGGGATTTGGCCCATTAGGTGGGCCACATGAGGAGAGACTAGGACATCACAAGGCTGTGTTGTCACTAGCAACATTCGCCCATGAAATTACTATCTAGGTCTGAGGTTCAATGCAGAGAGGCATTGATGTGGTTGGATCTGTGTCCCCACCCAAATCTCCTGTTCGGTTGTAATGCCCAGTGTTGGAGGTGGGGTGTGGGGGGGGAGGTGATTGGATCTTGCGGGCGGGTTTCTCATGAATGGTTTAGTGCCATCCTCTTGGTACTGTGCTCATGATGGTGAGTGAGTTCTCACAAGCTCTGGTCATTTGAAAGTGTGCAGCACCTCCCCTGTCTCTCTTGGTCCTGGCTCCTGCCATGTAAGAAACCTGCTCCCACTTTGCCTCCCACCATGAGTCAAAGCTCCCTGAGGCCTCCCCAGGAGCAGATGTCTCCATGCTTCCTGTACAGCCTGCAGAATGTGAGCCAATTCAACCTCTGTTCTTATAAATTACCCAGACTTTGGTATTTCTTTATAGCAATGTGAGAATGGACTAACACAGCCATTTCACTATGCATCTATTTACTCCTTCATTCTCTCAACATTCTTCAGTTCCACCCCACAGGGGTTAGCTAGGAAAAAATAAAATAAAATTCAAACTCATGGGATGTTCTGGATAAATCCAGTAGGCGGCGTTTTTGTCCTGGGATCTTTGGTTTTTACCTGCTGCTACAGCTCTTGCCCTCAAAAGATGCAACCTGGTTTTCCAAGATGATGATCCTGGCGTTAAGGATGCAAATATTCGCAGCCTGGCGCCCTTAGCCGGCCAACCTGCACATTTGAAGGTATCATATCACAGCCTCCAACCTCTGATTAGTTCAATGAATCTAGGCTTCTGCTGACTCTGAAGGAAAATGCATTCCTGAGTACACAGGATTATCAGGCTGTCATTACCTCCTGGAAGCTGGGCGCCCGTTTGAGGAAGGCTGAGCCCAGCGGAAGAATTCCCTGATGAAGAAAGGAAGTTTAAATGGCCTGATATGATTTTTGTCAGCAAAGCCTCTAGAAAAAAATCAATATGTAACCCCATCCTCAAAAAAAGGACCCCTAAATTTACCAGCTCATTCCTGCCCCCACTGGATGGTAGTAGCTAACTGGCACCAGCCTTTTATCTTTCCTACTTATTCCACCACTGAAATAGCTCCATTTGAGCAAACTCCAAGTACGAATATCATCTATTCTAAAATGAAGGACAATTTCCCAATTTTCTTTTCTTTTCTTTTCTTTTTTTTTTTTTTTGAGACGGAGTTTCACTCTTTTTGCCCAGGGTAGAGTGCAATGGTACAATCTTACCTCACTACAACCTCTGCCTCCCTGGTTCAGGTGATTTTGCTGTTTCAGCCTCCCGAGTAGCTGGGATTACAGGCACGTGCCACCACACTCAGCTAATTTTGTATTTTCAGTATAGATGGGGTTTCACCATGTTGGCAAGGCTGGTCTCGAACTCCTGACCTCAAGTGATCTGCCTGCCTAGGTCTCCTAAAGGGTTAGGATTACAGGTGTGAGCCACCATGACTGGTCCAATTTCCTATGGAGAGCTGTGTGGCTTTTGTAATCAGAAAAATAATACATGAAATTTTAATGTGAGAAACTGAATAGAAGATTTCCTGATATACCAGAACAGAGCAGGACATACTACTTCAATAAGAAACATGAATGTCCCTTCTAATAATCTTTCTTTTTTTAGTGATGGGGTCTTGCTACATTGCTTAGGTTGGAGTGCAGTGGCTATTCGCAGGCGCAATCCCACTACTGATCAGCACAGGAGTTTTGACCTGCTCCACATCTGACCTGGGCTGGTTCACTCCTCCTTAGGTGACCTGGTGGTCCTTGCTCCTAGGAGGTCACCATACTGATGCCAAATTTAGTGTGGACACTCAATCAGCATAGTGCACTATAGCCCAGGGCTCCTGGGTTCCAGCGATCCTCCTGCCTCAGGCTCCCAAGTAGCTGGGACTACAGGCATAGGCCATTGCACCTGGCCCTCTGTAAGAATCTTAAAATTGCTCACTTTTTTGTCAATAGCAGCACCAGAAAGAACCGTGGTGATTCACGCACCAGGGACAGCTGCATTGACGCCAGTGGGAGGGAGTGGCACATAGACATAGCAGCTGAGGAGGATGTCAGCTGAGCAGAGACCAGCCCACATTTTTATCAAAGGACACATTATAGGTTTTCCCTGTGGGTAGGTCAGGCTATCAGCAGCGGCTGAGCTTCCTGAGCCTTCAAAGCAGCAGTGACTCATTGGACCCTTCGGTTCTCCTGGTGGGAATAGCCAGGCCCGCCAGCACCGGTCATGGGAATTATCCATGTGGTTTCTTTGGACAGGGCAAGACTTCTCAAGCTTGGCAAGTCTTAGAAAATGGCATAGGTCCACTAGGATAGCAGTATTTTCCCTTCAGGGGAGAATGAGCTTTTTGAAAATCCTTGGGGTCTGAATCAATCCTCTTTGGACTGTGGGAAAGGGCAATTCCCTCTATACACAGACTAACAGGCCTCCCATTCAGTGAGACCTTCCCGTATGTCCATGGCTGTATATCCATGGGACCCTCCCCAAGCTGTGAAACGGGTATCCTTATCTAGATTAACGGGTGGAAACAGACTGTCAGAATCCAAGTGGTTAAACCAGTGATGTGCTGGTAAACCAGTGCACAACAAATAAAACAAAATAAGGTGACCCCAATGGGCAGTGTTTGTGACTTTCCATGCTGTGATACTCCCTTCCTGGGCAGTGTCAAGGTACCAACTGCTTAACACTGGCTCACAAAAATCATGCTTTTTTTTTTTTTTTTTTGAGACAGAGCCTCACTTTTGCTCAGGCTGGAGTGCAGTGGCGTGATCTTGGCTCACTGCAACCTCTGCCTCCCAGGTTCAAGTGATTCTCCTGCCTCAGCCTCCCGAGTAGCTAGGATTACAGGCGTGCACCACTACATCTAGCTAATTTTTGTGTTTTTAAGTAGAGACAGGGTTTTACCATGTTGGTCAGGCTGGTCTTAAACTCTGGAACTCTAGTGATCTGCCTGCCTCAGCCTAAAAGTCATGCATATTTAACCACTAGCTCTCCCTAGCTGATGGAGCCAGCTCCAGGATGGTGTGGGCTGAGGCATGAGGGCATCCTCCCAGCTGGATATATGAATGAAGGCTTAGAGATTCACTAATTCATAAGATAAATATTTATTCTGTTTCTGCAGGTTCATCTGATAAATTAGGCCAACAGGATTTTGTCTTCTGTGAAAGGAATCTGCCTCGTGGACAGCATCCCGCAGCCAGGAACAAGGGTGCAGGTGGCTGCTGGGCAGGGGAACAGAGGAGGCACACTAAAAGGCCTTCCCTCCTCACTCAGCACCTTTCCCACCTCCATCCTGCAACCTGCGTGTTCTGTTCTACTGAGCCCTGTCAGTGTCCTCTCCCACTGAGCCCTGTCAGCGTCCTCTCCCTGTGTCTGAGGCTCATCCCTCTGGCTGGACACACATTCTTTGCCAGGACTCAGAGAATCAATCCTCAAACACTCAGTTCAGCACCTTGCACAAAGTACAAGCTCAAAAAATACTTACAGAACAGTTGAAGTACAGATACTCATTTCAACATGTGCACTGCCAGGATTGACAGTGCCCAGGACTGTTTTGTGATGGTCTTAATTTTCTAGCTAAGAAACGTCGTGCACAGAAAAACCTCTCTTCACTGTAATTCGTGGTGGATCACAGAATGCAGAGACAATCGTGGCCATGAGAGAGCTTGGGTAGAGGTGACTTTACCAAGGATTTGCAAGTCCCCTGCCCAGGCTGACTCAGGAGCTCAGATGTTCTTCCCTGGGAACTACCTGCATAGCCATAGGCAGTCCCCAGATCAGAGCCAAAGCATTCCTCATCACAAAAGCAGGAAGTAGTATTCTGCAACCTGGAAGAAGGCTGATACGATCAGGACTGAAAAACTAGGGGAGAGCAGAACTCTCTAGATCCTCTGCAAACTGCTGGATCGAATGAGCTTGGTGTGGAGGTGGGAGAATGCTAAAAACACAAGTGGCTGCAGCTGGTCTCCACAGAGATCATGGAGGAGCTCTGCTGATGGTTCAGAAGAGAGTCTGGGAAAGGGATGGGCTGACGGAATTGCAAACCCTCAAGCCCTAATGCACCTCTGATTTTGTGCCAGAGCCCAGGTGGTTACATCTTGCAGGGTTGGTTTGTTTTGTATATTTCTTACACAGAAGATCAGATTCTTCCTCCTGCTCAAATGACAAAGCTGAGCCCCATTTGTTCTGGTGACAGGATCCAGAGCAGTGACCAAAGATAAAGCACTGAGAGTGGAGACAAAGGCTTGTCTCTCCAGGAGACACTGTGATTTGGGGAAAGTCAATGAAGCCCACATACCAAGTGGAATCTATTGCCAGGTCAAAGTGACAATTCTTGCAGATAGAACCTGGCCACAGATTCTCTAACGCTTACTCTCTCCAGCATTCGATTTGCCTCATAACGCAGTAGACAGAAACGTGGGAAAGACAGGTGTTAGGCTTGCCAGTCACATGAGTCCCTTGGGATATTAGCAAACAGAATGCAGAAAGTGGTGTTGGTGGCTCTTCCTTAGGAAAGAGTTAGTGATTCGGGGCAAAGCAGAACGTTTCTTTTTTCCTGTTTGTTCTATTTAATGCAGTCAGCTCATGATGATCCCAACTGAGAGCCAGACTGGATGAGAAAGCATGCCGAATCAGGCGGGAAGGAAAGCGGCTGTGACTGAGTCATTTATCACAGGGACGACCCTCTGTCAAGGCTGGCATCCTGCCTGCCTCTGTCAGGGAAGCCAACAGGGTGCATAGAAGGGCCAGCTGGGTGTTTGCTTCTGAAAGCTTCGAGTCCTTTCTGGAGACCTCATGGTGTTCTGTCTGAGCTCTTGTTCCTCTACTTTTCCTTGGATCTCACAGGGAAACAAATCATCAGTGTCTTATTTCCCGTCTATTTTATCCTCTCCCCTTTTGACTTAAACGAACAAGTTCAGTGAAGAGCCTGTCCCCAGCACTCCCCACCAACCTGCACTCACCTTAGAACACTAGCAGCAGCGCTGACCAGCTGCTGCTGGACTCACCATTACAAATAATAAAACATAAGGCTCTGCTCCCTGACACAGATTTCCAGGCCTGAAACTTTGTGAACAGAAAGCCGCTGCACACCAGACCAGTGACTTTGGTTTTCCCCTCCCAGTTCCATAGCTGTGTGTTCCTAATGGACGCTCTGGGTAGATAAATGCCCTGTGATCAAGAAGAGGCCAATCCAGGGATAAGACGAATGTCTAGTGTGCTGGGAGGAACGTTTAGTCGCTTCTTGGTAGGCTCTCCTTTCACCTGCTGTTCTATTTTACAGGCCACTTACATCCTATTGCAATCAATAGACACATCAGCACGTTCCGCTGCAACCGGGCACATTGGCAATCTGGGAGGTGGGCTCCCAGAGGTCCCTGGCATGGTGCATTAGGCAGTGGGCCAGCAGGTTCCCATCCGAGGAAGCTCTCCATCTCATTAGTTTCTCCCTGTACAGCAAAACGCACGGCCATCTAGGTTACAGCAATCAGGGCAGAATTGCTTGCAGTTGTGATGGGAGAGGCACTAGATTTCAGAGACTTTAGACAATGCCATTCTGTGAACTGTGGCGTTTTAAAGCGGGGCGAATGCAGAGATGGGAAGTGGGTTTATCCAGCTCAGAGGTTTTGGTTCTCACTCCTTTGTTCTGAAGGGGAAGCTGAGAAATTCTTCCAGGTGTCAGCCTTAGATCATCAACAATCCCAGGGAAGCTCTTCTCTTGGCTGAACAGCAAAACATAACACGTTCCAGGAATAAGCAGAAAATGTATTTTGCTCTGCTTCAAATCCTAGTAGGGGCTTTAAAAGTCAAATAGGATTTGAGAGCCAAGAAATCTTTTTATCTGTAAAGTTAACAAACTGGGCCTGAGACTAAGATGTTGAAATGCCCATGGTGTCTGGGCGTATATGGATGGATAAGGCATAAATTGCTTCACAAGACTATTATCGATCTTACCATTCATTCAATCTTCAGTGGATCATTCGTTTTCTTAATTGGAAGAAAGCTGGGGAACCAAATGGGTAGATGACAGTCGGGCTTAACGTTCATGGACACGGTAATTGATTTCTACGAATTCCTCAGCTCAACTCAACACATTGAGAATGTACTCAATTGCAGCCACTGTGCTAGGTTTGTGATTGGTTCTTGAAATCTCCTGGATTATGACTTGGCAGGAGAGGGGTAAACAGGCACTTAAACACATGATTTAAACATACGGAGAAATATGACCGTGGCATGTACAGCTCAGTCAGTCCTTATGTGGTCTGGGGCTGAGGGAGAGGCTGTTAGGTGAAGTGAGCCCTAACCTGAGTCTTGGCCTTTATCTGCAAAGATTTCTGGTCATGGGAGGTGGTTTTCTAGAGTGGTCCAGTCACCTCTCCTGTTGGAGGCAGAACAAGGCAACACCCCACACACTTAGTCCAGCTGCACAGACTGGGCACAGTGGCCTCTGGAACTAGACTTTAATCAGCTGCAAGATCTGGGGCCTGGGGCTGGTGAGAGAGCTCTGGAGAAAACTACAGGAAGTGGAAGGAACGATTCTGAGCTATGGGAAAAGTCAGTACATCAAGATGAGACACCCACTATGCTCCAATGAGCTCGTCTTCCTCCTGGTGAGAGCGTCCAACCTTGGGGATCCAGGTGAACACTTTGAAACCTTGAAGGGCCCCACGCAGCACTTGAGAAAGAGTTTGCCTCTGAGCTTTTATAAAACATGCCTGGATGACGCCTGACCTGAGTCAGGGGTTGAGGTCATTGGAAGGGGGACCACTCCCTCACCTGTTCCAATCCAGCCTCTGCCTCCTTCTGTCTTCCCTCTGTATGGATTTCCTGCAGAGACAGCCCCAGGAGGCCTGAAGGAAAGGGCCTGGGGTCCAGACCTGACTCGCTGCAGGAGGCTACAAAGCACATCTCTGTGGTCAGGGAGGAACTGGAAACCATGGAGGCCGGTGGTCTGTGTATCCCTCTCCCTCAGTCTCCAAAGCCAGGGGACCACTGAGTGTCCCCCATCCTTCCCTTGCAGTGTTTCTTTGTTTCTTCTAGAAGGGCCGGGCCTGCACTTCCACGGAAGGTGGGAGATGGGATTGGGAAGGGGAGCAGCAGGCAGTGTGGACGTGGCGCACATGGAGGACACACAGGGAGTCCAGGCTGGGGCTGTGGTTCAGGTGGGTGGAGGGCAGCACCTTAAATGAAGCTCCCGCACGTTCAGTGGGGAATAAATATTATTTCTTTCTGTTAGGATACTTTGGAGGCAACAAACAAAAGGCCTGTCAAGTCCATTTAAACAGCAACTGGGCTCTACTGGCCCACGCCAAGGGAGTGTGGGGCTGGTCTGACCACGCTCAGGCTTTGCTCTGCCCTCTGTGGAGCCTTGCTTGTGAGCAGGGTGTCCCCAGGGAGAGGGAACATCAATCTTTCCTTCCTTTCTCCTTCCTCCCTCCCTCCCTATTTCTTTCTTTCTCTTTTTCTCTTTTCCTCTCTGTCTCTCCCTTCTTTCCTTTCATTTAGACATACAAAAAAAACAAAACAAAACAAACAAACAAACCCAAAAAACCAAAAAAAGACCTTCCTGTACATATTTAATTACACCATTTGATGAATATGAACCCATGAAACCATCATCACAATCAAGGTAAAAACAGATATATTGGGCTGATCTTGCATCGTTATAAAGAAATGCCCAAGACTGAGTAATATATAAAGAAAAGAGGTTTAATTGGCTCATGGTTCTGCAGTCTGTACAAGAGGCATAGTGCCAGCATCTGCTTCTGGTGAGGCCTCAGGAAGCTTCCAATCACGACAGAAGGCAAAGGGGGAGCAGGTGTGTCACATGGTTAGGGTTTGGGTGAGAGTGGGGGGGGAGGTACCACACTTTTAAACAACCAGATTGCACGTGAACTCATAGAGTGAGAACTCACTCACCACCGCAAGGACAGCACCAAGCCATTCACGAGGGGTCTGTGCCCACGAACCAAACACTTCTCACCAGGCCCACCTCCAACATTCGGGGTTGCATTTCTTTTCTTTTTTTTTTTTTTGAAATGAAGTCTCGATCTGTCACCCAGGCTGGAGTATAGTGGTGCAGTCTTGGCTCACTGCAACTTCTGCCTCCTGGGTTCAAGCAATTCTCTTGCCTCAGCCTCCCGAGTAGCTGGGATTACAGGTGCATGCCACCACGCCCGGCTAATTTTTGTATTTTTAGTAGAGATGGGGTTTTGCCATGTTGGCCAGGCTGGTCTCGAACTCTTGACCTCAGGTGATCTGCCTGGTCTTGGCCTCCCAAAGTGCTGGGATTACAGATGTGAGCCACCGCGCCAGGCTCAGGGTCGCATTTCAACATGAGATTTGGAGGCGCAAACATCTAAACCATATCAACAGAGCCATCACCTCCAAAAGCTGCCTCACGCCCTTGGTTTTTTTGTTCTTTGTTTTGTTTTTTGGTGTGTGTGTGGTAAAAAACCCAATATGAGATCCACCCTCTTGATAGATTTTAGTGCAGGCCTGGCCCTCCTTTCAGAGCCCTTCACAATCTGTCCCCCACCTCTCTAGCACCTCTTGTCACCCTGTGGCTACCACCCAAGCTCTCTCCTCCCTGAAAGGCTGGGGATGATCATGGCCCGCACGTTTGTTCAGTGAGTTTTCCGGAATCCAACCCCCACCACCCACTACCCCTGACAGGGTAACCAGCAACCCTGGCTTCCCCTGGCCTGAGGGTATTGCCTGGATGGGGAAATTCTAGTGCTAAAACCAGGAAGGCCCCCAGGCATTGGGACAAGTTGGTCACCCTACTTCTCTATCTCCCTCACTCCAATTACAAAGTAGACTCAAATGCCACTCTTCCCTGCAGCCTGGACAACGGCAAACCTAACCTTCAAAGGCAGATCTTTTTGATGCTAACCCTTGCTCTTTTTACTATGTCATGCAGCTTCCTAACAACTGCCTGGCTCAGCTCTCAGAGTAATGAGGATGAAAGGAGATGCTAGAAGTAGATATACGTTTAGAAAGTCTTCTACGTTGGAAGGTATTCAGAACTCCCTATCATAGACTTAATCGTTGTCTTACTCAAAATGTGGATATGATTTTAACCACATTGTTAAGCTCATGCATTTTCTGTTGTGCTAAGGAAAAATGCTATACATTAAAACTAGCAATGAAAAAGCGTGAATGCTTTTTTCAATTTATGTACAGACAACCATGTGGTCGGATTCCAAACAGTGGTCTAGCCCCCAGTTCTCACACCCCCGATAAGCAGAATCACTATGCCATACCAATAAGCGTCCTTTAAGACACCCCAAAATGTGGCGCTGATGTGGGTGACTTGCGGATGAGACACAGGTCTATTAAGGAGTGCCAGCTTTTTGCCAAGAAATTATAAGAATGCAAACAGCACGTTGCTTTACACAGAAATTGCATGTTAACAATTTCATATCGACCACACCACCCTCCTTACTTTTTCCACTCCATGGAGAGGATTTTTGTGCCTCCCGGTTTGGGGCTGCCTACCAGGGAAGGGGTGGGGCGTTTGTTTGTCCCATTCCTTAAAGTGATATAAAAATAGTAAAGGCAGTCAATAGTGATTGATTAATTTCAATAACATAAATAATGGTTGTAATTGCAATTGAAAGAGAAATGCTTCCCACTTTGATTAATCTGACCCTCTGGGCTACCATTAGAATGCAAATCAGAAAATAAATGCAGAGAGACAGACTCAGCTCGGCAGGTGTCCAGCTCCGCCTGGTCTTCCCCAGCCAAGTCCCTGCTCTCCCTGCCAACCCTCCTGTCGTTTGCACTGTCACCTAAAACATCCCTCCGTCCAATAGGAAACATCACATTTCATTCCCAAAGCTTTCTTGCTCTTTCGAAGCTCTCACCACTAGAGAAACACCCTGGCTGGTACTTTGAACATTGCCCATGGCGATTTTAAAGCACTGTGTGACCCTTGGTGGCTTGGTAAGTTGGCTACATGGCTGGATCATTGTCCCCATTTTACAGATTATTGGGTAAAGACACTGAGAGGGGAGTGGTGTCGCCAACCAGCTGGTGGGAGGCAATCACAGAAGTAAATGTGCTTCTCAAAATCCAACCTTGCAGCTGTGTCTCTGGCAGGAGCTGCAAAAGCGCTCTAGGGCCACCTCCCCTGCTCTTCCTTCTTCCTGGGTCACCCTCAGGGCTCCTGGGCTGCTCACTGCCTCTTCTCACCCACTCCTGTACCACCTGGCTCACTCAAGCATAGAGAGCCACTGCTTCTGATCAGTCATTTCTATTTATTTATTTATTTATTTATTTATTTATTTATTTATTTATGAGACAGATTGCTCTGTCGCCCAGGCTGGAATCAGTGGTACAATCATGGCTCACTGAGGCCTAGACTTCCTGGGTTCCAGTGATCCTCCCACCTCAAGCTCCTGAGTGGCTGGGACTACACATGTGAGCTACCATGCTCGGCTAAGTTTTAATTTTTTTGTAGCGATAGGGTCTCATTATTTGAGACCCAGACTGGTATCAAACTCCTGGACTCAAGCCATCCTCCCATCTCAGTCTCCCAAGGTGCTGGGATTACAGGCATGAGCCACCGCACCTAGTTGATTAGCCATTTCCAACTCTGCAGCTCCATGTCCTTTTTAAACTACAGGTTTAGAGTGGGCAGGTCTTAGAGTCTCAGTGGCAGGAAGAGAGACCAGAGGACTGACCCACGAGGCAAGCCATTCTGATTGCTTGTGGTCCTGGTGGAAACACAGACCTGCTGTCCCTGCTGTGGTGAGGGCAGGGCCAAAGTGCAAAGTCGCCCGAGAGAGGGGAAGCAGGTGAAATGGGAAGAGTAGACTTGCCACGTGGGGGCCTCCTGCCTGCCCTCTGGCTCCCTCACAAAGCCTGTCCTCAGAGATTTTTGCCACCAGTCACTGACAGCTCAGGTCCTATGGTAAAGGAACAGCTCAATGAGAATATTCTGGACCTCAGTAGGGGAGGGGGCATTGTGAAATGAGAAAGGCAGGTTCCATGTTAAACATGGGGGAGCGGGCTAGTCACTTGCGCTGGCCGACAGGCAGGACTAGAGGGACGTTGCCCTGGGGAACCCAGGGGACTCCTGTCTTCCAGGTGACCCTCAGATCCCATCCCCAAACAAACCCTGATGCTGGAAATGTTTTCCAGGATCTAGAAATGCTGTGTGCAGAGATGAGCTACCAAGATGAGGTGTCTAGTCCTTCTTTTAAGG